AAAAACCCCGACCACCCCCCCCCCCCCCCCCCCCCCCCCCAAACAATTAGTAATCTGCAAGACGCCCCGACGCCATAAGGATATGCTAATGCGTCACTGGGATATGTCAGCAAGATATCCGACCTAATTCGAGTGTATAAGTTCGCTGGTGACAAGCTTTGAACCTTCCTCGTGTCCAGACAATCAAATCTGCTTGATTTGTTTGGAACTTCGCGTCTGTTCTCTTTGATAATTCCATTTCTTAATTACTCTTGCCTGTCACACTAACCAGTCCAACACCGCTTGCCGCACTGCAGAATGGCCTCCAAAGCGTTCTACGCAGTCGTAGCCGGCGTGGGTCCCGGCACCGGGGCCGCCGTTGCCCTCCGGTTCGCAAAGGCGTATCCCGTCGTTGTCTTGGCCCGCAAGCCCGAGAGCTACAATGACGTGGTCGCCGACATCAAGAAGTCCGGGGGCAAGGCCATAGGTATCAGCACAGACATCGCCGATCCCGAATCCGTGGCCTCGGCCTTCGCGACCATCAAGAAGGAACTGCCAAACACCAAGCTTGCCGCTGCCATATACAATGTCGGCGGTGGCTTCGGTGTGAAGCCCTTCCTTGAGTCGTCCATCGAAGAGATCGACGCCTCCTTGCAGTCGAGCCCGTAAGTCTTGGCTGAGACCGAGGACAGCACGATAGGTCGAGCCTCCTTCATATATGATGCCTTTCTTCTGACACCATTCACAGCCGAGGCCTCTACAACTTCGCCAAGGCCTCCCTTCCGCTCCTCCTAGAGTCTACCGAGGACTCGCCATACCCTCCAACCCTGCTGGTCACGGGCGCCACCGCCTCACTCAAAGGGTCGGCGCGCTTCGGCCTCTTCGCCGCTGGCAAATTTGCTAAGCGGGCGCTGGCGCAGTCGCTTGCGCGTGAGTTCGGCCCCAAGGGCGTGCACGTCGCTCACGTCATTGTAGATGGCATTATCGACATCCCGCGAACGGCGCAGCGGGAGGCGAACGGTGGTGCGCCGGACGGCAAGCTCAAGCCAGACCAGGTAAGTCCGCATTCTTAATAGTAAAGACAAGCATCTGGTCAGTCCAGAATGCTGATCGTGGGAAACAGATTGCGGAAAACTATTGGTTCCTTCACACCCAGCACCGATCGGCGTTCACTCAAGAACTGGACCTACGCCCCTATGTAGAGAAGTTTTAGGGCTAGAACTCTTAGCTTGAACCAACAGATTGTTCGATCGAGAGCTCAGCATCATGCCAATTATCTTTTGCCGCTTGCCGGTGGGAATCGAAGGCAGGCACGTTCACTACAAAGGAAATTCGGCAAGTCTTGAGGTTCTGGAGACCGAGCGGACGAGAGCCGCAATGATGGCTGGTCGGGCCAGCGTCATGTTTTGAGTACTGAGAATACTATGTGCCTTCATATAAGAATGGACATGGGATACCGTGTGACATCGGCCTATCGCTCTGAGGCCAGGTTCCTTGATAAGTGGTCAAGTCTCAGGGCTGTGCAGCTTTGACTTGTCCTGGACTTTTCAGTAGCGCGGACAAATCGATTGCCTCGGAAGAGCCGTGGAGATCCATGATATGATTTCCGTTGTTTTGTGGGTTGTCTGCTCCAGATATCCGGGATCTTTGGAGGTGTCTTCAGCCTCAGGTCGCAGTGACACCGTCAGGCGTAGGAGCGATGCTGTTCGGGGTCTGAACGCCATGCTCAGCCAGGAGCCGAGCATCCTCTTTTTGCTGCCGTATAGCCTCGGTTTCCTTTCGAAGCTTCTCCAGGTTCCAAGCATCATCTTCGTCGTCCTCATCCTCGGATTCTTCCTCCATTCTCCAGTTGCCGCTCTCGAACAGCGCACGGCCAGTGGCCTCCTTCGCCTGCCGTGCTTGCTCCTCGGCTGCCTTCTTATCGAGACGATCTTTCTTCCACTTGGCAAAGCTTTCCGGGGTCACGGGCGTGAGAGTACCGGTAAGCTTGTGTCGCTCTGATTCCAGGAAGTCCTCTAGAGTCAATGTCTTCAGGGGCGACTTGTCCAGCAACGCCTTCTCCGCCGCCCTCTGCTCTTTAGTCTTGAGCACGAATCTAAAGGGGATTCGTTAGCGTAAATCATGGTGTCTGTTTCGCAGCAGGTACTTACCCAGGTGGCAGTGCGTGTTTGTACTTGCACTTGTCACCGCCGTTCGGACATATCCAAAACCATCCATACTTGCCATCCTCGATCGCTTCGACAAAGAATTTGCAAATCTTGTCCGTCGTGGTCTGCTGGTTGCCCTTCTTGGACAGCACGACTGAACGTAGTTTCTCTTCGTCCCAGTCTGCCGACGTCTCGGTCTTCCGCTTCTCCTCCTCCTCGGCCCGGGTGTCTGTGTATAGGTTCTTCTTTTCTGTCTTGCGCTCAAGACTCAAATCGTGGGCAAACTTGCACTTCTTGCCCTTCTCGCAGTTGCCCTTCTTGAAGAATATGCACACCACAGTCTTGGGGTCGACACCGAAGGGGACTTTCTGGATCTGGGCTGGTCGGTTGAGCAGCATTTCGGCTTCCCTCTTGGCGTCCTCGGCAGCCTTCTTCTCCCTCTCGCGGGCGGCCTTCTCCGCATCCTTCCGTTTCTGCTCTGCGCTTCCGCTTGCTTTGAGGGAGGACTCCATGCGAGCGATCTGCTTCTGTGCAACCGCACCCTTCTTGTTCTTCATGCCGAAGGTCTTGTCCTCGACAACCTTGGCCGCAGCAGGCCGCTTGCCCCCGCCTTTCTCGGTCTTTTTCGGCGGCATGATCGCTAAAACTCGATGCAACAGGTGGTAATGTCGATTGTTGAGAAAGAAAGAAAGAAAATGCAAATAGAGTTCGCCTCTCCCCAGAGGGTGTTGAGGGCAAGAATGAAACCTCGAATAGGGCTGATGGGCTGGCTGTTCCAAGGCCTTTTGTGAAATGGTGGGGTATCAGACCCTGTGAGAAGAAACACAAGCGCACACCAACTTGGAGCAATCTTTGAGAGGGCATCACGTGCCTGGTGATTAGCGTGACTTGTTATCGTTATCGGCGAGCTCATGGCGCGTCTAACGCAAGCTGGCCTAAATTACGCAGCTCTTAATTGACATCTGCAGTGGCTCTTCCTCGATATCGCAATCATCCCTCTTGACTTGACATCTCCAGCACCCTTTCTGGAGAAGCGCGTATGTGTCTCTGCCTCAAGCTGGCATCTGTCCCCTCTATTGTGACGCAATCGACTTGACTGACTGTACAATAGGGCCGGCATCTGCTCCCCTACCAATCAGCTTCCCTCTGAACCCACAGCTGCTAAGCGCACTTCTCTCCAGCACAGTTCAAGATGATTTCCGACGACGATCTATACCGCCTTGCCATCTTCCTTGGCTCTGCAGCCATGGTTCTCATTGTCATCTATCACTTCTTCGAGATCAACGCCCGGGAGGAAGATGGCGCCAAGGAGACGTCAGGAACAAAAGCCAGGGCCGCCACAGGAAAGCAAGCGTCCTCCACAAGATAGGAGCCCCTTCTTGAGCTCAAAGGCACAAATCAGCACTTTTTTCGAATACCAGATACGAAGACCGGGTGGAATTTTCAGCATGCAATCGTCCAGCTCGCAAAGCCGGAGCGTTTGTTGGAGGATCACGGGTGGCCCAATAGAAAAGGGCAGCAGAGCCCTCTCGACACGTGGAATTACCAGTATGCAGGCGTGGCTTGGAAGACTTCTGTGAAGGAAAAAGAGCGGATATTGAATTTGCGACTCATCCCACTGCTGTACCTACCGAGTCGGCTCCCAGAATAATTGGTCGAGCTACACAGTCAGCTGGTCAATAATAGGTACTTCATTCACAAGGCACTACTACTACTTGCCCATCACACTCACTCTCTTGGAGAACGAGAAGGCTATTCATTGCAAAGTACCTATCACAATAGAAGCCAAATGGGGTCCTTGCTGAATGGATTCAGGTACCAAAGCATCTGGGCTCAGCTCAACAGAATAGTGGGTACCTAGGTAGGTACCTGAATGGCCTCCACCCCCAGCTGTACACCCATTGTTTTAGTGACTCACTCAAAGAGGCATGGCGCCCTTCTGCCTGCCGCCCCTTCCAGCCTCAGGCGCCTACACAAAACCCTTTCTTGCTTCCTTGTCAGCCTCCCATTCTTGCCTTCCTCCCTCCCTTGTCACGCCCCGATCTCCATCCACCAGACCACCACAAAACCCAACCAACATCTCTTCATTCTACTCTTCGAACGGCTGCAGCCAACTTGTCAGCCTCTAAACCCAACTTCTAATTCCTTATTTTCGCCATAACCATCTTCTCGAAATTCGGGTCGCGAGCAAACTCTCTCGCAGCCACCGAAACAGACGCGCTCCAGCTCGTCAGCATCGGCTCATCTGTTCTCGATAATCACACTTCTTCTGCCATCACTCTAGCAAGAGTCTCGCCGAAATAGCCTCTTCGCGCGACATCTTCTCTCATATCCAACCGACATTATCCACACCTCAACATCAACCATCAACAAAATGTCCGGCAAGCTTGACCAGTCTCTCGACGAGATCCTCTCCACCCAGCGCCGCAGCGCCGGTCGCCGCCGCTCCACACGCCGCTCTACTGGCCAACCTGCTAGAGCTGCTCCCGTCGGTGGTATTCAGAAGAACACCAAGCCTGCCCGAGGCAACACTTCAAAGACCGCGCCTGCCAAGGCCGCTGGAGCTACTGGCGTCAGCAAGATTGTTGTCAGCAATCTGGTTAGTCATTCCCTCGTAACCGAAAGTGCCCTGCACCATCGCTAACTAGCCATCAGCCCAAGGATGTGTCCGAGAGCCAGATCAAGGTACGTTACCGTTGAGGCTTCTCGAGCCCTGTGACCTCCGTCGACATGAATGTCGCAATTCTTGCGCCTTACGTCACACCTCTCCTTTGCCTGTTCAGCGGTATGTCGCGTACCAGAACACGAGCAGCCTCTAGTCGCGCGGACTATTCAGACTCCTCCCTGCGTGGCAGACCGTCCTCGCGGTGTCAATGCATCGGGAGTTGAGCAAGTCCTGGTACTGCTTGAGATAACGTGCGCCGGCCTGCCTGGCAAGCAAGCCGGCTTGTTCGCGTACTCGCAGACCTTTGGCAAGACTTGGAGTGTCTCACAAGGATGTGTTGGCCCATCTAGCTTCGCACTGTTTCTGGCTGGTCACCAGATCAGTGGTAGCTCAGCAGTGAGCATCGGGTCCGAGCAATCTGCACAGCATGAATCCATCGCTGCTTCGGTTCAGATAACACTGCAGCATGTGAGCTGTCCAGGCTCCAGGTCGTGGCTACGGCCATCGACACATCTGTCACCTCACCCTCGCATTCTGTGGAGTATTCGGTCGGGCATAATCGCGCTCCCACAGCTCTTGTGTGAATTGGCTGGATTGGTTGATCAGCCGGGATATCGTCAGGATTCATATTGCGTCATGCAGATATATTCTCTGAAAGCGACCGTCCGATGCTCACTGCTCCCTTTCCTATACTGTCTGCGGCAAAATCGACGGGTTGTGGAGCTGCACCACATGGCGTGCTTCACTCAAACCCCAACCATTCGCTAATCATTCACTACTTGACATAGGAATACTTTGGTCAATCAGTCGGACATGTGAAGAGGGTCGAACTGTCCTACGGCCCAGGCGGTGTCAGCCGTGGTATTGCCACTGTCACCTTTTCGCACGCCGATGGCGCTTCGAAGGCCTTCCAGGAGCTCAATGGCCTCCTCATCGACAACCGACCCGTCAAGGTAATTCATTACCTCGTTCATTCTCCACTACTTTGAATTCCGGCTAACATGTGCCTACAGGTCGAAGTCGTCGTGGCTTCCGCTGATCTGATCCCGCAGCCGAAGACCCTCGGCCAGCGCATTTCGTAAGTGTCATCCTCGACTCTGTGCACGATTTGGACCGAACTAACATGATAGTAGGCAACCCAAGGCTCAACCCAAGTCTGCCGCTTCCGACAAGCGCGCGAACAACACATCCAAGGCTGCCGGCGCTGCCAAGGGTGCCAAGAAGCCCCGTCGTGGCCGCAACTCGCGACCTGCAAAGAAAACCGCTGAGGAGCTGGACTCGGAGATGGCGGACTACTTCACAGGCAACACTGCGAATGCCACGGGCGATGCTGCTGCCCCGGCTGCTGCCGCCCCTGCCGCTGCTGGTGGCGATGCCCCCATGGAGGATGAGATTATGTGAGGAAACTCGGCTCTTGCTTGGACTGGTGACGAATCAGCCCTCACGAGTACGGGGCGTTCGGCCTAGGACCTATTCGACGTGGTTCCCCGTGGACGTCAGGTCCGCGAGATGAGGTGTGGTGGAATGGTATTCTTTCGACTGGAACGTTCGCGATTCGTCTTTGCTTTCTCGGCGGCACATCAAATTGAACCAGGTCTCTTTTTATTACTTTTCGAACGGCGATTATCTCGATATTTCCTTGCCGAAGTCGCACCAGCTTAACTATCTCCTCGTCCACTCGGTACAATTGAATATGTACGAATAGAAAGGAAAGATCCCGGCTGGGATTGGACAAGCCCTCCTTGATTCGGTGACACGGTCGAGCCCAATTATCATGCTTTGAAAAGCCCGCAATAAACCCATGCGGCCTATACGATGTTCGCGAATGATACACACTTGCACGGCGAGGGCACATCAGTGGAAACGAGAATTGGACAATTACTAGGGCGCTCGTTTTAGCAGCATTTGCCCCTGCCTTGCAACGCAGGATGCTTTAAAGCTCAGAGCCTTGCCTTTGCAAGTCTGTTGGCGATATCCCTTTCCCTCCATGGCCGGCTTTGTCTTCGTCCACTTTCAGCCCAGATCCACCAGCCGATTGCTTCTGTCCCGCACGACATCAGGCCCAATACCTAGATGGGTTTCGGCAAGTTTCCGGGCTGTAGATCGTCTTCTTCAGCCCTTTGTTCGCCAGGTTTATGGTCTTTGGTCTCTGGTCCCTGACTTTGAAGATTTCCGTTGGAGTTCTGTACACATATGCCGCCGCCTTTTGGGCTTGGCAGCACAATATTGGGGGCTTGCTGGGATACGTGGAGGATCTGGGCGCCTCTCAGCCTACGGAGGGTAGTCCTGTGCCAGTCACGGAACGACCGGGGGAACTTTACTCTACACAGCAACCGCGCGAGAAGGTGGGGGAGAGTGAAGAAGGTGTAGCCCGGGAGGATGGACGATGGTATGTTTCAAGGTCGGCACATGCATTCAGGTGAGTTTGATGTCGTTGATCAGCCACTCCAACCCTTCCTAGGTGACGGTGAAAGGTAAGCCCCATGTTCTGCGTGTCTGATCAAGTAAAACTGTTCCGGTTCCGTTCATCGCCCCGTGAGGTTCTACCCGTAGGCTTGGTTCTTGCTGAGGCGGACCGTAGTGTGGGAGACCGCTCTCTCCGTTTCTTTTTCAATATTACACAGCATTGTGCAGATTATTTTCTCTCTCTGATCCTCTGTTCGATTTCGTGGCTATCCTAGGGCATATGTGCGGAACCCTGATAGACAGCCATCCTGACCTTCCGTCTTCCATGAGGTCCATGAGCACAAATCACTTGTTTGCAGAAGAACGGTGAAGGGACCAGGTAGCAGCTTACGAAGAACCCACAATAAAATGCCATGTTGAGGATGGAGTTGGCAGGTTCGTTGACACGCAATAGGTTGGAACAAGCTTGAATACACAACTCCGGATCACTTGGGACTTTTTGTGACATCTAATGGCGATGTTTGTATGTATTGACATGTCGCAGACGATACCAGTCTACGCCACGCTAAATCGCACGGTCCCCATTCCAACACCTTTTCGAAATCGCACTCCCCCCTTCAGTACATTGCGAAAGTGGGCGCCGCCAACCAGTGGCAGGTGACGATGTCCACAATCGAAAGCAAGTCTCGTGAAGACGCCTTAGGCCTTGGCCGCAGGCTTGGCAGCAGCAGCAGCAGCAGCATCCTCCTCCTCGCCCTCCAGAGGAGGCATGTCATCGTCATCCTCATCGTCCTCATCGTCATCCTCAGCGCTGGGCATGCCGCCGCCGCCGAGCTTGGAGAAGTCGATGCCGCCGAAGTCACCGCCTGGAAGTTTATGTCAGTGCTGTCATGGTGGGGGAATAGATCTTTTGGGTGTCACGTACCGCCCATACCGCCCATTCCAGGCATGCCGCCTACAATCAACAGGGTCAGTTACAATCCATGATGGGAAGCGGAAGAAGGGAGGGAGAAACGAAGGCTTGGGCGCCATGCTCAAGCAGCTCCAAGCCCCGGCCCTCCCGATGGCTCTCTCACGTACCCATGCCACCGAACTGGGAGAAGTCATCCTCGGCAGCCTCGTCCTGCTCGTCCTCATCGACCCACTTGTCGAAGTCGGTCTTGAGGAAGTGGACCTTCTTGGAGTCCTTGAGAAGGCGCGGCCAGTACTCCTCCTTGAGCTCCTTCTTGCGCAGCTTCAACTCGACATCACGGGCAGAGTGGTTGATCTTGCTCTCCGCGGGGTCAATCTCGGCGAAGAACTCGAGCTCGAGATGGTAGGTGCGCTTGAGGGTGTCGGATCGGCCGGTGAAGGTCAGACCGTTGGGCTTCAGGTCGAGCTTCAGGTTCTCGCGAGGGACATCAGGGACCGAGATGGTCATGTAGATGAAGTTCTTCTCGGCATCGGAGCTCGAGGATCTCTGAGCCCAGAGAACTGTTTGGGCAATCGAGTTAGCAGAGTGAAGCCTTGTAGGAAGCCTCGCACCATCAGTCGGTGCAGGCAGAAGCCACAGCGCGGAGTGCATTGGCCTCGCTGCTTCTCATGCCGGCAGCATTCAATTGGCACAATAAGATATTTTGTGTTCATACCTTCGGGAGTAACCATGTCGCTGGAGGCCATTGTGGTGAGAGGATTGTCGAGCGAGCAGTTGTCGAGGGTGAAGATTGGGATGGAGGGGTAGCTAATTGGCGGGAGCTACCAAATGTCAAATCGCTGTCGAGTGGAGTCCTAAGGCGGTGATCGACTGCCTGCGAGTCAGAAGGAGGAGTCACAAGAGGCGCAGAAATGAGGACAAAGGATAGGCGTACTTACCGTGCTTGATCGTTACAGACGCAACTGAAGAACAGTCCGGGAGGGAAGAGGAAAGAAGGTGTGTGTGAGGTAAAGCTGAGACGAGTTTGTGGCGGCAGAGTGATTGACGTGCGTGCTGTTTGCTGTGAGGCTGTACTGTCTGACTTCCTCCACAGTGGTTCGTCACGGGGTGGGCTGGCCCTCTGGTAGTGGAAGCTTGAGGAAACCCGAAGATTTTGGGCGCTGCCTGTGGAAAGTGGGAAGGCTGCCCCACTTGGTAGAGGTACTTTGGGGAAACAAGCTGCAGCAATTTGGTGTGGTTCACGCAGGGCTGAAAGAGTGGTCTCGATCTCTCTGTCCTAGTGCCAAGATGTGTGAATTGTATGTACAAGTATGTAAGGTCTTCAACTCTGGTGAATCCGAGCTTCCTTCCTATGGCTCGAGATCGAATGGTCTACAAGCTCGCCCTTGTCAACTGTACGGAGTTGATACTAGACCTAAGAGATACCTCCTCCTTGTACAAAGTGTGCCAGCCATTAGAATGGTGGGAGTGTGTGTGGGCATTTTGCCAGGAGCAAACCACAGACAACAGTGTCTTTCTTTGTTCTGTGGGAAATCATGAGAAGCCACAGTCTGAGCTGCCTGATCTAAGAAAACCATGAGTGATGGCTCCAGGCCTCGACTGAAGATAATAAGGTACTGGATGTCGTGCCTAAAAAGAGGGGAGGGGGATCCAACACCACTGGAGGTACCTAGGTAGGTATTCTGGCGGTTGGCGACCCACCATGGCCTTATCCGATAAGCGCCTTGCCCTGACGACGTCAGTCGCCCAGGCTGCGATCTGTCACCGAGAAACGCCCCTGACCCAAACCGCAGAAAAGACCGCGTGCAATCGAGTCTGGCAGAGCCTCAGTCACTCGAGGCTCAATTAGACCTGTCGGCATCATGGAAGCCATCAGAGGCTTCTTCGTGAGGCCCGATCCGCAAGCACAGGTGAGAGGCCAACTCCCAACTGCTTCGTGCCGTTGAGCCAGAGTCTTCGGGCTCCGTCTCTCCCTCTGAAATCGCCTACTGACATTACGGTGTCTTGCCCGCAGCTTCGCAAATGTAACACGCTCATCCGCTCCAACATCCGCAAGCTCGACCGCGACATCGCTTCGGTGAAGCAGGTCGAGACCAAGACCAAGAACCTGATCCTCCAGGCCGACCGCCGCGGGCAGCGGGACCCGACCCGCGCGAAGCAGGCGCAGAAGGAGGTGCGCGGCTTTGCCCGCGAGCTGGTCCGCGCGCGCAAGACGTCGTCGCGCCTCGTCACGTCGCGCGCGCAGCTCAACAGCGTCGGCATGCAGGTCAACGAGGCCTTTGCCGTCCGCAAGATCGAGGGGTCCATCCGCGCCAGCGTCGGCATCATGAAGGACGTCAACACCCTCATCAAGCTCCCCGAGCTCGCCGGCACCATGCAGGAGCTCGGCATGGAGCTCATGAAGGCCGGCATCATCGAGGAGATGGTCGGCGAGTCGCTGCCCGAGGACGAGCTGGGGATCGAGGAGGACGAGCTGGCCGACAGCGAGGTCGACAAGGTGCTGGGCGAGATCCTCAAGGACCGCATGGACAAGACGGGCAAGCTCCCCTCGGTGCCGGTGGAGCCGGAGAAGAAGGCCGAGGAGCCCGAAGAGGACGAGGCCGAGACCGAGGCCATGATGGACCAGATGAGGAACAGGCTCGAGGCCCTAAGAAGTTGAGGAGGCGTCATTTTTGCAAGACCATATCACTTTATGATTTTTGCTTTGGACATGGCGGGCGTTCGGAGTTGCTGCTCTTGGAGTATTCGTTGGGTGCACATAGTCTCGCGCAGAGATTTTAGATGATAGGCATCAAAGCATGGGAGGGTAGCCTGGTGGAAGATTTTCAGGGTCTACGACTAAATTGGCATCGAGCGCCGAGAATATACGCTCGTTGAATGACAAAGTACGTGTGGTGCTATGTACATGATCCTCCAGCCTCGGCACTCAGGCTTGCGTGGTGAGCAAGGCACTTGTTCCCGAGCATGGCAGCATATCTGGAAGGCTTCATCCGATATGATCACTCTACATGCAGGGACGGTGGATACCAAAGGTCATTGTTCTCCTCCAAGAAAAGCCTCCCCGTCGCATACATGTCTTGGAAGAGTATAGAACCCTTGTGTGTACAACACTTCTTCTAATAGCAGTACCATAACTAGGACCGAAGTGAAACGGTCAAGTCTGGTCGTCTAGATATTTCCGGTCATGACAACTGACTTGACATATCTAGTGAACAGGTTTTATCCCTTCAGCCTTAGCACTTGGAGGAAAGACGAGTTTCCCTATTGAAGAGGTCTGGCCAAAATGAGGACGGAAACAGTATCTTTGTTCTGGTTGGAAGTTATCATCATATTCGATTTCAAGGCGAACATGACGGCGATATGCAAAAGAAGAAAGACAGGATATCAGACCAATCTAGTCATTACACCTCGGAAGATCAATTTATCGATACTCTCTCTGTGTCAATACCCTCGATGTCCTTGCAGATGATTATCAATGTCCCCGTGATGGTACACCTCGTGGGAAAGGTGAAGTTTACGGGTTGCCTCGGTTTTGCCATATCATATCCATGATCATACTGCGAGGTCTTGTATTTCATCCGTCCATTTGCAAGACGAGCAGATCAAGATACACGGCGTCCTGTTTCCAACCATCCTGTGTCCTGGTCTTGTTTCTACAGTTCTTGGGTCACGTCGAACACACGAGTACCGATAGCTTGACTGCAACAGTTCCGACAATGTAACTTTTATCAACCCAAGCAATATTGACCATCAAACCTGCTGTTGTTGGTCGTCGCCGCCGGCGCTGTTTCCGACGCAAGGCTGCCATCTGGCCCAAGGCAGATAGATCACTGTCAGTCATAGTGCACGACGCCCGGTGCCGCCGGGCGAGCCGCGCGTCTAAAGAGACGCATAATGCATTTGCCACCCCCATCAATGCCAGGTGCCCGGGGCTACGTTACAGCCAGAGAGTACTGGCCGTGCTGGTTGGCCGCAGAGCCCCCCCCCCCCCCCCCCCCCCCCCCCCCCCCCCCCCCTCAAGCTGTCATCTTTCTCGAAAGTATCGAGTACCTTGGTCTTTTCCCAAGGGCCTAGATCCCGGAGTCCGTGGACTGCATCACAAAAGCAGGCCGCTTCCGTTCGCAAAGCACTACTGGAGGGAGGGGGCTCGCTCGCTACCCCAGGCAAATACGAGGAGGCGTTTGTGCATGACCTCCGTTCCTCGTTTGATATGTGTGCCACATAACAGGTGAACCAGGCGGTTGGGCATCTAACTGGGCCAATAGTTACTGGGCAACATATTATGGCCAGAAAGACGCACCGGGCAGCAAACAACAGAGAGAAAGATCTCTCTACCTGATTCACAGAAGGCCGATGTGATGTGCTCTCACTCCGACAGCAAAAGCCCGGAAACCTACCTATGAAAATCCTCATCGGGGGCTGAAACGTCCCGCCCGCAGCGATGCTTCATGCAGGTTTGTGCCTTGGCGTGGGGTGCTGATTGGGCATCCCCCCCATGCTTCATCACAACTCCGTCTGTGATATCGAGAGAAAAAAGAGAAGGGGGGAAAAGAAAAACGTCCTTGCGTTTCGGCGGGCTGGCGGTCTGGAAGGAAAGCCACACCTCTCCCCCGTTCGGACCGGTGTACGTAGCACACACACACACACACACACGCGCGAGGTCGGACTTTTCGCGGAGAGTAAATATCTGCCCGGGTTGCATGAGTTGATGGGCACCGGGGAAGATGCCCATTTGCTCACTCGCTCGGGCATGCATAAGTAATTGAGTGATGAGAATTGGACTTTTGCTCGAGTCTGTGACTTGCATGCGTCGTTGCGCCTCGAGCGGGATTAGCGTTTATTATGCCTTTGTGTGTGTTTTGCTTTGTTTTGCTATATTGGACAATTGTGATACTCCCTTCTTGATACATGTGTGACGGGATGAGGATGTGATATCTCCTCGTGAGTGGCCAACAAGACAAAAAGAGAAGCCGCCCGACATGCAGACCTGTTTGCGCACAATGCGTCCTTCTCCCCTGATATCCCAACTCCATCCCAAACCTTCATGCGTGTTGACTACGGAGTATGGGCGCAGACGATGCCCTGGGTGCTGAGGCTAGATCGACACCCTGCTGCCATCGCCGACCTCCCCAACCCAGGTAATACGGGGTTGTTGCTGAGTATCGTAGTTGAGCGAGAACGGGGAAGCCTGCGCGAGGGAGGACCGTGGGGGCAAGCTGCCCAGTGCTCTCTCATCAGCACCCGCATCAATGCCACAGCGACATCGCGAACGCAAGGATGTGCTCAGAGAGAAGCACTTTCGTGAGAAATACGGTCGCACTCCCCGCCCAGATGGAGTGGCACACAGCTTCCTGTTTGAACAGTGAACCGCTCAAATCAACGTTGCCGAACCAACGTGCAATGCCCTTCTCGCTGCGATAGGTTTAGATTGCCTACCGAATCCAGAGCTCCGCGATAGGGGAGATTGACCTGCCTCATCCCGCAGGTGCTGGATGGGGATGGGGGGGAGGCCGACCGATCTCGCAGAACCCTGGGAGGATTGACCTCCCCCCCAAAGGACAAGCTCGATGTCCCCCCAATCGGGTTGCGTAATCCGACCATCTGGATATGGCACTGGGCGCGACACTCTGCTGCTGCCAATAACGATGCCTTGGCGCATAAGGGCGCTCCCATTTGTTGCCAACATCGCGTGCAAAAGCCCCCCCCCCTCAGGATGAAAAAGAGGGCGCAGTATATATCTCCTGCGGCGGGCTGGAAATTGCCCGCCCTCAAAAATAGCATTAAAAGTGTCCGTCTGTCTGCCCTTTGCTTGTTATCGCAAGAAGGGAACGAACAGCATGACGATGCCCCATACGGCAGTGCCCTGGGGATAAACCCACACCCCTTTCATGGCTCCGGACGGGGGAAATTGTCCCAGCTCCCAGGTCAACGGCGATGGGCGATGGAAGGCTCACCAAGACATCTTTTCATCTCGTCAAACCCCAGCCGAACCCCACGGTTGGGCTCGACGACCGACCGACAGGTAACGCCGACGTTTTATGTTTTCCTTGTATTGTACTTGTACAGCCTTTGGCGAGGCGGTCGCGCGAGCCGGGGGGAGCCAGCCCCAGTCCACTCGGCCGGGGGGCGCGCGCCTGGTTTTTACTTGTACTTATCCCAAACAAGGGATTGCGATAACCTACGAAGAAAAAGGCCAAACGACAAGCATTGACTGAACAGGCACCGGAAGGGTGCCCCGGCGACAAGGGAGTCCTGGCTTCTCACATGCAGTTGCATTTGTGTGTTGCTCGGACCTTGCTTGCCCGCGGAACTCGGGAGGACAGGTTAGTTACCAGGCCGCTTACCGCAGAGGGAAAGCAACCGGAACACCAAAGAAGCAAAGTGTCCCCCCCCCCCCCCCCCCTGTCATATGTCAAGGGGTTTTGATTCTGAGATTGCTCTCGCTTCCAAGCCTCGGGTGCGTTCTCATTTCGCCAGCCCTGGCAGGAGAACCAGTACCCAAAAGCCCCCCCGTGGCCGGGGCTCGCACCCGACGGAAAGGGCCTGTCGGTGGATCGCCTGGGGGGGGGGGGGAGGTAGGCCAGGCCAGGCCAGAGTCTTTTCGCTTGTGACAGGCGGTCGGAAAAGGGTCAAGATCTTCCATGGATTGTTCCAGCGCGTTGGCTAGACTGCTGCTAGAGGAGGGACTGACAGATTCTCATCCACTTGTGAAGCGGAGTACCTAGCAGGCCCCCCCCCGCCGAGCCGTAGCCGAAGCCACTTGACATTTCCCGACCGACTTACGGATACCTAGAAGGTTGCCGGAGAGGGCGAGGCAAAAAGAGCCAGGCATTCCTCGCCTCCGCAATCCAAAGTAGATACAGGGTCCCCGGGCAGCTCCCACTAAAAAAGAGCGCCCCAAGCGGTCGGCACTACCTCCCTAGCCGGCCCTGGCTCCCCCCTAGCAGCTCCCATGAATCGAGTGTGGTCGGTCAAGTTCCGAAACACGACTCGGCGGACGGGGGTCTCGGCAGGGTGGCCAAGTCGGGAAATACCTGACGCCCGGCGGGCTTTTGGCCGTCGCGACACAACCCCCTTTGAATGCTACGCAGTACCTATTGTAGTTTTTTGACGATAGTTACGGTATCATTGGTATCAGAAGCCTCAACTGCGATGCCCACCAGTGGAGGAACCTTGGACTGAACAGTGTTTCTTCTGCGATTGGCACCAAAGGGGGTTGATCATCGCTCACTCATCATCGTACAAGCGAAGATCAGCGTGGGAAAAAGCAAGCGACTCTCTGCACATTGAGCTTATCATATCTGAGTTTCTGGGCTGGAATGTGAAATTGCTTATTCCGGGCCGCGGAAGGCGGCTGTGGCTGCAGCATGGCTGCGAGTGGCTGGTTTGGAATGCTCCCGAGTAAGATAGGCGAAAGAAAAGCAAGAGACGTAACTACAAGTAGGTACTCTATCAGATGAATGAATGAATGGTTGGCCATGGCCCACGACCACCCACCCACCGGACAGTGAGTGAACCTTGTACCGCGGTGCATTCTCCGAAGGCGACCGGCAGCTCGGCGGTTTCAGCCACTGTGCTTGCTCCTCGGAACTTCCTGGATGGAAGGGTTCAGGTAGCATGAATGGCAGGTGGAAAGATCATCCCGAAGCCCGCAGCTGGTCTAATGAAGCAAAGTAGCGTCTGGCAGGTGAGAACCCGTACTTGTACTTCGTAGAGGCCCACGCCTGGACCCTGAAAATCAAATGCGATGGGCAGCACTTTCGAACGGAGTATTGTACAAGTAGTCCTCGCCAGCCTCGGGTTCTGGAAGCACGCTTCCCGAGGCTCTACTTGTGCTTGTGCCTGTGCCTACCGAACCCACCCCAGGCTAAAAGGGCTACCTAGGTACACCCAAGATGGGTATCGAGCCGGGAAATGCTTCGGGGCACTTGAGCTGCTCTGGGCGAAGGACGGTGGGTGGGCAGGGCGATTACTTGACTCGTCCTAGCCTCGGGAGAGCGGGTGGAGTTGGTGGGTTCGCAATGGATCGGCGGGGACGAGCGGCCAGTTGAGCCAGAGGAGTGATCTACCGAGTACCTACGCTTGCTGAATTCCGGGGAGACGGCTCGGCTATCGCGTAGCCGCCAAATTTCGTCGAGTAGTCGAGTCGAGTCGAGTCGGGTCGAGCTGGGGGGAGGGAAAGGAAAGGAGAGCGGAAGATGCCCAGTCTGTTTCGACCGAGTAGGTACGTACTCGGTAGGCGATGAGATGGGATGGCCTGGGCGGTGTAGAAAGCAGGACGGCGGGCATGCGCACGCACGCAGACAACCCTTTTCATGCAGGACGCACCGCCCCGGGACGAAAAGGGTTGTTCTGGAAAAGAGGCGGTCAACGAGATGCAGCGCAAACCTACAGAGGACAGACAAACCGATGCGAAACGGGCTGCGGGAGCCCACACACACACACACGCACGCACACGCACTGGCGCGGATCCATCCTCTGTGCGCAAACGGGGCCCAAGCCGGCAAGCTTGTTTCGAGAGGTTGTTGTTTTTTTGTTGTTGTCTCTCGATAGCTGGCGAATACATGCAGACATCCGTGATTGAGATGCATTGCCAGCAGAGTCAATCAGTCTCAGGCTTGCTTGAAAAAGACCGGTGAGGAGGGATGTTTTCTTCTTCTTCTTCTTCTTCTTGTTGTTGCCCGATCTGCGTCATCCCGAATCAGGGCTGGCGCGCGCCATCTCAGAGATGATCGGTCGGGAATAGTCAATGTAGGTACTGTCGGTCGGCAGGGCCAAGGTAAATCAACTCCCCTCCCTCCAGACGGTAATTTTCGGGAGGGATGGGGGTGCGCGTAGTAATCCCGATAAAGGCTGTTTTGATTGACCTGGCCAACTTTTGTGCTTTCTCGTGGACAACAACAGGCGGGCATGCGCAATCAAAGCTCGTAAACATGGCGAAGACGAGAGGCAATACAATAAAAAAAAGGCCGGGTACAATACGCCGATACGACTTACGATGCTGTCATCTCGCCGCAGGCAGTCATCATCTCATCATGCTTCACGAATCATCGTATCTGGCCGAGTCCTTGGTAAGCAAACTGCCTGGCAAAAGTCGTTGGATGGCCAGGACCAAGAGCAAACCGGGCACCAATGGCAGTGCTGTCCGCCCTTCCCCAGCTCTGACTCATGGAGGATGCCATCCAATCTGATGGCCGGCGCGCCGTTCTCCGACGCGATTGATTGCCCTCTGACAAGCAGAGTTCATGTCGAGTTGCCGCTGGCCAACGCTTTTCTTTAGGTTTCTTTATTCATCAACGTCGCAAACTCGCCATACAGCCGGGGCAGTTTGGCCAGTTTGCTAAATGCCTTGGTCCCAAACTTTTTGGCTCGATGGCGAGAACCAGAAACACGAGGCGACTGGGCCAAAAACGGAGAACCGCGACTCAAGGGCCCTTCCAACGGTCGGAGCCGTCATTGCATTCCTTCACATGTGCGCTCCCGCTGTGGCTCTCCTCCCTAGCCCTCCCCCGCGGTTCGAACAAAGCGCGCCCTGGAACATATTTGTCAAGGGTGTGCGGGAGCTGACTCGGGCGTGCATTGTGTGCTGAGTTTTGTTCCCTACCTACTCCGTACTTGTCACTACTGCTGGCATCCCGGACGAGGACAAAGCAGGGCTTTGTTTGCACTCGGGTGGGAGGGTACCTAATAAGGAACAAGAGGCTGCACACCCAGGTCATCACGAAAAAAACAAGCCTCGATGTTCTGAGTTACGGCCGGTTGCTCGAGACCGACCTTTGCCTCGCAGGCATTGCCTAGATAGGTAGACGTTGTGATGTATCGCATCCATCCCGCTGCAGCAGCCCAAATAAGCATGTTGTACGGAGTACAGCTTGTACAGCACCCTGCAGGGCAGCAAACACCAGCTCATCTCCCTTGGGTCAGCCCTCCCTGACAAGCCTCCCTTGACGTCGAGTCTCAGATTGCGATCGGGGGTGTGGGTGGCTTGTTGCTTGTCTTGCTTTTGTCCAAGCTGTTCACGACATGCCTGCGTGCGTGCCGTCTTTGCTTTTTGGGGGCCCGACAACCCCCTCCAGCTGAGTGAGCTGGCTTTGGCGTTGGGGGTTGGTGAGGATGGGCGGTGTGGGAAGGAAACCTCTTTTTTTTCCCTTTTCTTTTTTTACAATTTCATTTCTTCATTTTGCTTTGTTTGATATGTTGATCCCGGGTAGGCGGAGGAGCAGCCGGCGACCGGGGCCCCAGTCGCGCTCTGGGTCTGGCAGGGCAGGGACAGTTACAATAGAAGGATGGGCGAATGATTCCTGATGGGGCCTCCCTTTCAGCCCAGACCTTCATTCCGGGACCTGAGCCCATGCTCTCCCCGGCCTCCCAGACCAGCCAGAGCTACCGCACGCCCATTCCAGCTCCCCCCAGCGAACGAACGCTAGGCAGAGATTCCCGCCCATGATTCATGCTCTGCACACGCCCCCCTTGCGTTGCGTATTGACCTCTAGGAGGGACTCTTTTCCATGGGCGGATAGAAGGAACCGTGGTGGAAGGGGGTGGGGAGCACGGGAGAGCTGCATGCTTTGATAATGTCAGAGAGCGGTCAGACGCGATCAGGATGACTCCGACCACCGCTCGACCTGCCTGAAAGGAGATAAACTTGGATTTGATGGCAATAGCAGCAGCAGCAGCAGCAGCGACAACAATGATGACAGCACGCACTCAAAAAAAGGCGGTAAGCCCTGCATCCAGCGGCGCCACTGCCTTACATCGGAATAGGGGTGGAAGGGGGGGGGGGAGTGTGCGTGGGATCAAGTATCCCCTTTCTTTTGTTTGCCGGTGTGCATGTTTCCAGTGAGCAACAATGCAGCCAGCCAGAGTGTTTGCCTGGTGTGTGTGATGAGTGATGAGTGATGAGAGGCGAGAGACGACGAGAGAGACGACCAAAGAGGCGGCGGGGGTGCCCGGCTTTGTCCCCGACAAAGCACCAACACCACCAAAAGCAACAAAGCAAACCAAACCGTGAGCATCGCACACGCCCCCCCCTTGTCTCATCCTCGCCCGTCACTCCCCACCCCACCCCACGCCGGAGTCGTCGACTCGTGCCCACGCTGGCCAGGCAAAGCCAGGCATTGCCAGACCCGCGGGCCAATACCCGTGTGCCCGTGGCCTAGTCTGCTGCCTCGGGGCGGCGTACATGGATGAATCATTCCTGAGCGTGGCCCTGCTTCCCAAATGCCACCCCCATCCATGACTGACCCATCACCCATCCCATCCCCCCGTCTCCCAAGTCCAAGCCCGAAGCCCAAAGCACCACCCATTGCACCCCCATCCCGCTCCATTGTCTAGCCTGTACGCTACCCCATCCTCCATCTATCCACACCCTCATGGCCCATGGCTTATGGCTCCTCGTCGGCTCTGCCCCGGTATCTCTCTGCTCGAGTATTTCCATATATTATTGTTCCTCCTCGGCCTCATATCTGCTACCCGCTCCCCCTTCTCTCCCCTCCTCTCCTCTTGTTCAACGATATCCTGGTTCTCTCTTCGTGAGATAGTACGCCAGAACGCATCATCGAAGCGTCTCAGCAAACCACAGCCCACTCATACAACAACAAAGCAGGAAACCTGCTTTGGACCCGACTTACACACACCGAGGCTGCCTCACCCCCACTACCAGCAGAGCGCGCAGCACTTACACCCAACCTTGGGCCACGACTTGTATACGCCCGACGCGCCACGTCACAGCACCACCGCACAGGAATTTTTATATAAAATACCAGTCCTGTCTCCAAGGCGCGCGGAACCGACCAGGCCTGCACCTGGACCACGGCCACCAGAGTCTCCCATCAGCACTATTCAACCGCTCTCGAGCGCGCAACAACACAGACAACACACAACAACCGCAGCCATGTACGGCTCGTACGGCTCCTACAGCTCCATGTGCTCGGTGCAGATGTCGGCACCCCTCGACATCAGCCCCAGCTACTCCAAGCAGCAAGACGCAAGCTGCGCCTTCCCCTCCTGGCCGCGCAGGACGTCGCTCTCCGAGTCGGACTGCGAGCAGCGCGCCACCTCCTTCCTGTCCGACGAGGACCTCTTCCCCGCCGCCGCCGCCGCCGAGGCCGCCGTCTTCGAGGACGACGCGCAGAGCGTCTCCAGCGCCGGCAGCAACATCTCCACGCCCGCCTCCGGGTCCCCGCAGATCGTCACCGAGGCCCAGCTGCTCGAGATGGAGCGCGAGAGGCAGGCCTACCAGCGCGAGGTCACCCGCTTCCTGCTCTCCGAGAAGGAGCGCCGGAGGCAGGCCGCCGGCAAGCGCCAGAGGAGATCCAGCTCCCACTCCAAGAAGAGCCCCAAGCCCAAGCACAACCTGGCGCCCATCGCCGAGGCTGGTGGCGAGTGAGTGGAGGGGGGGGGGGGCGTGTCACCATTCCTGGTGTGGCTCATGTCACTTTCGATTACAGTGTAAGCTTACTCATCTACTTCCCTCTCCAACGTACACGATGGCACCCCTTCACCACCGGAATAGCAATCACTAACACCGACCTTCCTGCACAGGCTTAATAATCTTTTTTTTTAATCATCTTCACCACCCTTCTCTCTCTCTTGACGGGAGATACTGAGAGTCATCCATCCCTCCTGCATGCCGAGAGTCCGGCAAGCATCTCAGGGTTATTCCCGATCCCGCTTCGGACCTAGCACACGGATGACAAGAAACAAGGGCTTTGTCCAACCGCCTCCCTGTGAGACTCGCACCGCATTACCACGGCAGACATACATATTTGTCATGGCGGTGTGCGGCCTGCCGATACGCCCTTCGGCACATCAGACCTGCTGCGGCCAAAGGAGCTGAACAGCACAAGAGGAGGTCATCCCGAGGAGGACTCGCGGCCAGTCAGCTCCCACACGCGGGGGTTTGTGTCTCAGTCGCCCGAAACATGGGAGGGAGGGCGGGCGCAATCCGGGTCACCGACTTTTTTCCTTCTTCCCGCCAATGATGGCGGCCATACACTACTATCTATTCATCATTACCTATCTGCCGCGAGCGGCGCACGCGGCGGTACCTCGTTACACGGTCGAGGAGGCGGGGTGTCGCACATAGCACACAACCCGATCGTCAGACAGGGTTGGCTGGCCGCTCGGCCTTGCGACCCCGGCGAAGGTCCTGGAGGACCAACTGCACCACGGTCAACCCCCGCGGCTTGCAGAGCATAATACTTTTCTTGGATTTGCATTACACTTTTTTTTCTTTTCTTTTCTTTTTTTTTCCACCCGAGCGATCATGGGACTACAGCGTGGGCATTACCGAAGCGATTCTTTTCTCCTCTTTCCAGGACAAGCATCGCATCAGACATTTTACGGAGTATACAAAGGGGAAACATATCCACACATTACAGATATCCTCACGGCGCAAACAACATACATACACATACCCTAATCAGCATAGCGTTTCTCTTTTTTTTTTCCTCTTTTAGATAGCATGATACCCCCCCCCCCCCCTTGACTCCCTCTGCCTTCGCACGCGACGAGCAGCCTATCACGGGAACAGTTAGTTTAGCAGCACAATATGAGAGTTGACCTTGGAGATTCTACACGACTTGCACTTGACATGTGAAAATGTGAAAATGAAAAAATGTAACGCATCGTCATCAACAACCAAGGTCTGTGGACAAACAAAAGGTTTGGCCCGTACGTCTTGTCCACGCGCAACGCGTCCACTTGATCAAGCGCGGGCATATGACATAGACTGCATGCATGTAGGTGCCGGCAGACTCTGCCGGCACTGCCCTATAGAGAATTAGATCGGGCTTTGTTTACCTACTTCTTTTTTTTTCGTTTTTTTTTTTTTTTCGCGCCGGCCATGAGAACACATGCGCGTGTCATAGAGTACCTAGCCCTTTCCTCCCCCCCCGGAGACTCGGAGGGGAGGGCGGGCATCGCAGCAGGACATTGGCTAGCGGGCGTTGTGGTTCGGCATCCATCGACAACCATCTTCGGCGGTGGCAGTGGGGGGGGGAGGAGCGTCGAAAACAACCCGTGCCTTGTCGGCTGTCGGGAAAGCTTGTGAACGCAAAGAGCTTCATTGAGTTCTTGACTAACATAGGAGTGCTACCTAAGGTATGTAGTCCCTCTCTTGCTCCCCGTCTTCCCCCAGATCCTTTTTACACTTTTCCCGAGCAAACCTACGGCGACGCGACCGCGGCTCCAAATGCCTGGCCACCTTTTTGGCGCACTACGTCTCCAGCTCCAGGCGACTTGTACGAAGAAAGGCAAATCTCGCGTCCGTTCGGGGAGTCTTCTGCATGGGCGAGGCGAGCGCGCAGTTTGGTCACAATCTCTATTCTGTTTGTTCTCCCTCATGCCGCCCGTTGTCTAAACGCCCGTCTCAAATGGCCTGTCGTGACCGATATGTGTCTCGCCCGTTTCGTCAAGTGACGATGGGGTGTGATTGGGGGTTGTGTGTGTGTGTGTGTGTGTGTGTGTGTGTGTGTGGTGGTGGTGGTTTGCTTTCTCGGCCGAGTTTTGTGTCCAATCAACTTACAAAGGCCGGCTTCGGCCTTCCCATTCGTCCCACCCGCCCGATACATATATATTGGGAGAGGCACCCGCAGGTCGACGAATGCCCGTGACTCGAGGCCCTGCTCTTGTCTGGGTTCCTGATAGCTCGGAAAAACCCAGATGGATTACGCAGTTCCCTCTACTGTTTGAGGAGGGCGGGAAAAGGGGGAGAGGATGGGGGATTCGGGGCCGCGGAGCGCGCGGGGGGGTGCGCCGATTGCACGGCATGGCTGTTGAGCCCACCGAGAATTTGGTTGAAAGAGCTGGTGATACGCGGGGGATGATGTCTGGCCCTGCCTGCCACGAGATGGACGACATTGCTCCATCTAGCAGGACACTCTCTGTGTGTGTACTTCAGAACACAGCCCAAGAGGGCCATGCCACGGCAGGTGCTTGTTCAACAATGCTCTTTCTCGAGTCCTCAAGGGACATGCATGCATTGCATGCAATGCGTGCCATACCTACCCTTGTCCGCTTTGATGCAACTCCGAGAGAGATTGATAAAGTGCGGGCACCCACGCCGTATGCGGGGAGAGAGAGTGAGACTGGTGGAAGGGAGGGCCCTCACAGCTGGAGAGCAGCGACGAGAGAGAGAGAGCAAAATACGAATGTTGTGCAATTCCAGCTTTCATTTGCTTTTCGGATATCCTTGCTTGCCTACCTAATAACCGGCTCTGTGGCTAGGTGATCGAAAACAAAGGGGACCGGACCGGTGCGAGGACCGGCGGGAGCCCTTGGCAATGCGCCCTCCGCGCTCATCTCATGGCATGAGGAAGCCAATGCAAGATGGGGTGTGATAGTGACTGGCAGCCCGATGTGATAGGAAAGTCCCCCTCGGTCATCACAAAAACATCGTGGTAAAGGACGCAGTACGGGAAGAAATGTTCCCCTGCCCCGTCTCATCTTCTCAGCTCTGATCGCGCCGGGGATAGGGATAGCTATTCGTTCCAACTTGAGAGAAGCTGCCCCCCCTCCCACCACACAGACACGCGGCAGACCTGGATGCTACCTTGCGGCTTGCCTCAACGGCTCGCACGACCAGATGCAAGGGTTCCAGGCCGCCACATGCGCTCCCGAGGGATGCAAGGTCGGCGATCATTCAAGCTGGGAGCGCGAGTGTGCGTAGGGCGGTCGAGGGTGGAGACATAGGGAAGAGTGAGATATTGCACGTCGACAGCGACGGGGATAGCTGGCTAATCGCGTAATTCAGTCCACCGCGATCCGAGATTTGGAGAGAAGCTCGGGTCATTCTATCCCGTCCTTTCTGTGAAAGTCTGGTTGAGCAGGATGAGCAGCATGGATTCTTTGACGAACGCGGGTGCCGAGGACCAAGGTTTACAGCTCGGGGAACGCACAGCAACCAGCCCTGGGCGACACAGAGTATCTCCTGCAGTCGCCAGACTATGAACGGATGAGGATGGTGAGCAAGATAGCATCGTGGCCGCAACGCATTGACGCACCCGCGAATATGGCGGGACATGCCTGACTCCTTGGAGGCCGGGAGCTGGGAAGAGCCCTCTCCCGACGGGCAAGTCGGATCTGGCGGTCAAGATGTGACACATGCTTCTCTGAGACAAAGGTGTGCCTTCTTTTTTTTTTGGTGGTTAAAGTGCTCGCATATTCTTCGAGTGCCTAACTAATGGATGGGAAGACGTGGACCTTGAGAGTGTCGCACAGCATGGACAGAGATGCAAGGCACCACGGAAACAAGGGGGAGGGGGGGTTGGATGCGTGAACCCGGGGCAGCCTGTAAGGACGCGATGCTGAGCGCAGGCACACGACAGTAGCCCGGTCAAGCAGACAATGGCATTGATATATTAACAATGCGCAGACAAAGCGGGACTGGCCCGGATGGTGGTAGCACCATCACGATGAGGGTTCGAAGGGAGGAGGTGGTGGTGATGGGCTACTAGCTTACCCCGGTTTCGTCCGTAAAGCCCTGTGGCTGCGGGCTTCTGGCAGGGATGTCTCGGCACCGTTGACAAGCCCGGAGCGCCATGGCGTCGCAGCCCGTCAGGCCCGAGTCTTTTTGGCAGATTGATATCGGCCAAGCTTGTCTGTGCTGAGTGTTGGTTTTTTTCTTTTTCTCTGTGGGAGTGGCGCGCAATCTGGACGATGGTGTCCGCCCCCCCTGGTCTACAACCCAGCGGCGGGGAGGCTAAGATTTGCATGTCACAATGTGCCAGTCGAGTGATGCTTGGAGATTGCTGTGGTTTGAGGAGCGCGGACTCGAGACTAGCATCGTGAGGCGTTGGCCGTGATAGCCCATCACCACCATCACGGTTGCATGGTCGAAGTGACAACTCCACAGTTCTGGTGATGGGAGACATGACATGTGGGTGGTGGAGGTTGCGAGAGACAAACGCCATGCCAGGTATGGAGGACGGAAAAGGCAGCGCCCTGTGCGGCAGGGGTGCCAATTAAGGTGGTGGGGCGCTCCTGCGCTCTACTGTGTGTAAGTCGTTGTACCTAATAAGCGTGGCCAGCAGCGATGCGGCCGGTCGTCTGTTGCAGCAACCAGCAGTGCCATATTTTCTCTCTCTCTCTCTCACACATCGTGCGGAGCAAAAAGAGCAGAGCAGAACAGCGCAGAACAGAGCAGAACAGCGCAGCGTGCCGCAGAGTTATGAAACAGAAGTGTCGACATGTCAGAGACAGACAACGTGCACGGACAAAACAAAGAGATGGTGTGTTGGTGGTGGCCTATCCCACCCGGAAAGAGAGGGCTGCAGCATCAGTATCGATCCCAAGGGTCCTGCGCGAACAATCTGGTTGCAACCCTGATTCGAGGCGGGGACTGCATCCGTGTGTGCGAGAGAGAGAGAGAGAGAGAGAGAGAGAGAGAGAGAGAGACATGCCTGGAAAGACTGGTGACGAGAGCAAGGGAGGGCAGCGGAGAGCAGCGGCCCAACCCAGCCTCCCCCATATTTGTCGAGGTTGATCGCAGATTGCCATCGCATGGAGGAGGTGCAGGTACCGGCTACTTCGACTTATCGGCCTGCCGTTACGTTTCTTTACTCGACCTGGCGTTGGTCGTTGGGAGTCAGAGATTGATAGTCGACCTTTCCTCGCCGAGTCGGCGTTGTGCTGGAGAAACAAGCTTGAAGTGCATGGCATGACTTCGATTAGTGAAGTGACCCCACTCGCCCTGCCCATTTCCTGTGCTAGCGGTCCGATCCTCTCAACGGCTCTGTCCGTCACTCCCGTCGTTCCAAAACACCAAACGCCAGCCGATCTTGATCTCTGCGAAAAAAAAAAAAAAAGGCATCTGAGGTCATGGGATCCGGTGATGTGCGCTCCGAGGTCCACCTGGGCTTGCCAGAGCCAGTCGAGCCACGGTCCCGTGATTCATGCCATTGTTCTCATTCTCCTCTTTCTCCTCTTTCTCCCGGCCCCCTTTCGCTTTCGCGCCCTCGAATCCTCCGCTTCCGCCCATTGTCGCCGTGACCAGCTTCTTCCCTCTCTTTCCTCTCTTTCTTGGGGGGCAATGGCGGGAAACGTCGAGGTTCGATAGGCCAGCACAGGCCCATCGGGGAGAATCCTGACCGGGGGTCGGGCGGTAAAGTGTGTGATCAGACCCGCTGATTGGCGGCGGGAGGCAGACCAGAGGCAAGCGCCTGCAGCCATCCCTGATCCCTGTAGCCAATCGTCAGCCGCAGGTGCCTTTTTTCATGCCAGAGAGGCTTTTCGACAGGGATCATCGCTGTGCTTCCTGGCCTCTTGTCCTCGTCTCCGCCCGTCACCCCCGCTCTCGTCCTCAACGACATCCCCTCCTCCACTTCATCGCCCTCCCGCCTCTGGCCAACCACGCACCCAAACCCGCCGTCTCATCACCACTGCTACCTATCTCTAGGCGAGGCGAGGCCCGGCCGGCTAGCCAAGGTGACGAGACCTGCTAGCCCGGGGTCCAACTCGATGTCGACGCTTTCAGAGGCAGCTTCGAGCACCGTACTGGACGACACAGGCCCAGACTAGCCCGGAGAGCAAATGCGCTCAAACAGCCCAGCATCATGCCATCTCCCTGCTAAACGGGGGGCCGGTATGGAGAGCGAGTATCGAGGTGACTCTGTACTCGTTACTCGTCTTCCCTTGCTGTTCCTCCTCTGCTCATGTCAGGTACCAAGTCCTGCACAAACGCTGTGTAGCCATTTCTCCAACGAGTGTTGGCGTGCGTACCTGATACTTGCTTTTTGTTCTCTTGTGGCTGCCCATATCTCGTGTTCTCGTCTTTGCTTTCCAGCACTACCCAATGCTGCATATCCTAAAGCTTCGACTTGCCGTTTCCTTCTCGAGATGTATCAGAGCTGCATGTGGCTAAGCCATGCCCTCGAGTGTGCTCGCCTCACATTTCCGGGTTAGCCAGGTCTTGCCGTTGACGTTGTCCGCCGCGACGAGTGAGCTGGCATCATCGACAAGGGACCGAGCAGAGAAGAGGCTAATTATGGCCAATATTTGAATGTACCATGTACGCTGTCTGCGGGCAAGGGTCCTTTCTGTGCGCCCGTCGTCCCTCCTCACCCCCAACTCGACCAAGAGCTCTTGCATGTAGGTAGATTCTACACACCTTTGTCACAGCGCTCCAGAGGGGACAGTCACCCTCTCTGTCTCCATCTCCCACTCGTGATTCCCTGCACCCCGGCACAACTTTGGCTGGATAGTCCCAGCCAGCGGCCAATGAAGCTATATCTCGCACAGAGACCCTTGTCTGCTGTCCGTGCCGCGATTTGCACATCACCCACGACTCGCCCCATGCCATGCAGTCCAGTCCGTGGCTTCAGCAGATGAGCCGGTCCGTATCCGCTTTCGATTCACCGTTCTCTGCAACCTGATGCGCCAGACAAGAAAGAGGCAGGGGGGAGCTCTAATTTTATATGGTCCGCTCGCATCGGCCACTGACAGGCCAGGCCTTGCCAACTTTAGGCGCTCACCTCCGTGACTTATCTGCTCCCCTCACTCTTCCCAGAGATCCCGTCTACCGTAGCAACCTTTGCCTGCTTTATTTCTTTCCTTTTTTTGCATTTTCTGTCTCTGTATTTTCCCCTCGTCACCAAGCATACAGATCCCGCGAGTCCTGTCAGCCGCGAGATCATCCCATCCTGCAAGACAAGCGCCGGGGCACGTATCGTTCCTGGCACCAGGGAAGCCGTACTGCACCGTTCACGAAGCCGGTAACCTATCGCTGAGAGGACGTTACCGCTCTCACGCACCCCACCCTCTTCCTCCGCCTACTGCGTGTCTCCTAGACACTCTTCGTGCGACCGAAGCCACGCCTGCTCCTTCCGAGACTTTTCTTTTTTATCCTTCTCCTGTCCCGTCCCCATCCGCCGGGCCTGCTTCGTCGGACAAGAAACCCTCACCGCTCACGCCACACCTGCGACACATATATCCGGGGCACGACAGGTGGTTCAACTTTGCCCAACAGCTTGCGGTTGAGAGATCCTTGGGAAATCTGCAGATTCGACTCCGACCGCGGAGGCTTCCAGCGCCCGGAAAGCAGCATAAAAGACCTCTATGTGATGGTTACGAGTGGGATCGTGTAGCCTTTCCCCACAGTCAATCTGGTTCATTTGTGAGACCTAGTCGGAAGGGAATCGTCCCCCGACCGTCCTGTAAGTCATTGGCAACCTGGCAGACGATGCCGTCTCCTCTCCTCCGACCAGGATGGATTCCTCGCGCTTGCGGGCGGCCGTATCCTGCGGCCAGCAGAGGAGGACTTGTCCCGTCATGCAACCAGCCGCTAACATGTATCGCCTGGCCAGGTTTCACCGTGCCAGACCTGATATCATCGCCGTCATGTCCGCCTCCGGTCCGCTGGCGAGGAAGACTTCGGTCTCGAGTTCCTCAAAATCAAGAGCCATGGCAAACACCACGCAAGAGGTAACAATGACGCCGCCCGCGGTGATGCGGTACTTTGACCCGTGCGCCGCGACCGCGGGCATGTTCCTCTACGCCCAGGGCAACTCTGTCGTCTGCTGTCATCACGATACCTTGACGATTGAGCGTAGGTTTTCAAGGCACGACGAGGAGGTTCAGTTACTAGCTGTCGATACACAAAGTGAAAGAGGTGCTGGTCGGTTGGTAGTGAGCTACGATGCAGGGTCAACGGCTATTGTGTGGGATATCATGTCCGGAGACGAAATCGCCCGTTTTTCTTCCTATGAGCATCTCACGGCGGCAATCTGGATGAAAAATGGGAATGTCGCATTTGGTAAGTCGTGCCTCGGCTGGAGCCAACAACATAGATGGTATCAAATTCCCAACTAACCCTCCGCACAGGAAATACCCAAGGAAACATCATTTTGTTTGAGCCAGAGACCTCGGAACATATCTCTTCGCGAACTCTGGATCAGATAGCGGTCACGGCTTTGGCGCCAGCCGCGGACTGTCGAACTTTTGCTATCGGGTAGGATTGTCCCACGCCAACGAACAAGTGTGGTTTACCCCCTTTTAAGCTGCGAAACTAATCAGTTGAATAGATACCAGAATGGGTCGCTGTTGATCTGCAATCTGCAACCGAGGTTCACTATTTTACATAATCTTACCACCTCCAGAGGGCCGTCTTCCATCGTCAATCTCGCATGGCATGCTTCGTCGTCGAGGCAGAAGTCTGACATGCTTGCTGTGCAAACGAATGACGGCGACCTTCGTGTGTGGAGTGTCTCCAAGGCTTACAACAATGCCGATCCCGCCAAGGTCGTGCGAATCTTGAAGCGGACCGAGAACTACCTGACGGGCCCTAACTGGATGGGCTGGTCAAAGAACGGGAGAATCATCCAGTATTCCGAATCGTAAGTGCATCATCACCCTGCAATGCGACACCTTCCTTGGACTTGTATCAATTACTGACTGGTCATGATCTCAGTGAGACCATGTCTTGGGATGTTCGCACCAAACATGTCACGTTTGACAGCATCCCTACTCTCGAGCACGTTCGAGGGTTGGCTGTCTACGGACCAGGAGCCAGCTTGTTTACGTTGGGAGCAAACAACACCGTCCAACAGTTCGATTTGAATGCTCCCGCAGTCCTGGTTGCCAATGCTCAACATCCCGCGAACCTCCTGCCTCCGTCTCCTCCTGTCTCTATTGAAGAACAGGACAAAGCCGCAGCTGCGAGCAACTCTGAATCAGAAATCTCCATTGGTCTCGAAGGTGTCTCTGAGAGCGATGACGACCACATGTCGCCCATTGCGCGGATGATTCAGACCAAGCAGCATGTGGACGCGGATCAAGATTTCTATGGGCAGCCGGCAAGCGAAGCATCGTCCAAGAGCCGCAAATCGAGCGTCTCGTCGGCCAGCTCGCGAACACCTGGTCGATACCAAGAGTCGATCCGGTCCCGCGGTCTCACGGAGAACACGTATATTTCCGCCGGGTCATCTCTTCGTTCACCTGCAGCATCTCGCTATGATTCGAGAAACCAGGATGCTCACTCGATTAGTAGTCTGAGTTCTGTTTCGATGGGTTCTTCCAACCATCGCTCGCGTCACCGGCCCTCCCGTCTGAGGAATGAAGTCCCTAGAAGTCCGGAGGATAACAAGGTGCATGATCTGTTCAAGTTCACGAAAAGTCGCTTACACGACCTGCCCTACAAGCATGTGCCTCTTCCTGACAGCGGGAAGATGACCAACGAAGATCTTCGCCGCCAAATGCTCAGCACGATCTTTGGTTGGAACAAGGATGTTGAGGACCTGATTCGGGATGAGATGAGCCGTCATCCCAACGGCTCGCCCAACCGTGTCCTTCTTGCCAAGTGGCTTGGCGATATTGAGTCTGACATTATGACAACTAGCTCGCAGAGCATGACCTCGGCGGACTGGATGCGTTTGGCTCTGAATGGCATCGGGTCTCAGACCTCCCAGCAAAAGCTGGGCCGCGCTTTCATCCAGCGCCTCTTGGAAGCTGGAGATATCCACGCAGCAGTAACGATGATGCTCGGCATGGGCGACCACAACGATGCCATTGAAGCTTACGTGTCCCACAAGCTGTACATGGAAGCATTGCTCTTGTGTTGCCTCCTGTTCCCAGCTGTCTGGGAGCGTCAGTCACAAATCGTCAAGAAATGGGGAGAATGGGCTGCTCAGCATAGCCAGAAGCAGCTGGCCATCAGATGGTAAGTCATGAAAGAGGCTTCATCACCAACGGCCTATGCTAACACCTTCGCAGTTTTGCTTGCAGTGGTAAAGAATCCAGTGAGCCGTGGACGTCACCATCTGCGGCTCAGATCACCTTCCAGTCTATGACGCCCAGCATCCCTGAGGTTCTGAGTCCGCCTCTGTCTCCTCCAGGGATACAGAGAGGACCCCAGCGGAGTATTGCAAAGTCATCTGCCCTCAAGTTGATCACCTCATTCGGCGATCAGAACTCCCGTTCCAAGTACTTTTCCGGAAATGAGGATGGCCAGACTCCTATTGCGGCAGGAGTTACGCCCATTGCTGAGTCGGCCATCTCCCCAGGTGCATTCGCCGATCCTGCAACAGCGTTCATCAGGCCGGGGACTCGAAGTGCTCTGAACACTCCCAGCTCAGCACGGCCCAGTGGACCTGCTGCAGGCTTCAACCGCCAGAGACTGCCCTCGATCGGCGAGGCTCCAGGCGATACGCCGCGTGGCCGACTGAAGGCGTCGGATCTGCCCACCCCTCCTGTTGACTCCCTCGATAAAATGTCTCGCGGGCATGCACCCAAGCGTTCTCATGACGAGACGAGCTTTTCCACAGGCATGTCCATCGGCAGGGCAGCGACTGCGAGTCCTATGATGATGAGGGAAGGCCCGCGCGTTCGGAAGGAGCATCCTCCGCCCTCGCCTTCGCCCGCCTCAATGGCAGCTCTCATGGAAGGACGCACAAGCCGCAATGGACCTCGAAACCGCATCCCGCGCGGGATTGAGATGCATGTCGATACAATCGAGGCCCTTGACCAGAGCGACATCACATCCCCCGAGCAGTCCGTCGCTTCCTCGACACGATTCCACTGGCCGTCCAGGCGCCGAGGCCCTGGCTCCGTCGGTGGGAGCTCTGTGACATCAGGTGCATCCAGTCTCGCGAGGAGTCATAGAGGGCGTCACCCAGGCAGGAGTCTCGATGACTATATCCACAGCCTTGATGCGGCCAAGAACAAGAAACGGGGAAATAGCCGAGAAGGTGGTAGCGCCGTGAGGGACTCTAGCAGGAGCAGACGTGGTGACTCGAGAGAGCGGTCTGCGGACCGTGGCCGCACCTCGTCCCGTGCCTACACGCCCAAGGCCGGCAAGCGCTCTCCCAGGTCTCCGGTCCCAATGTCGCCCGAAGATCTCATCAACCTCAGTACACCAAAGCTCGCTGACTTGGAGGCCCACGGAAACCTGTTGATCGACGTTGGCGCCGAGGAACCAAGCACTGTCAGAAAAGCGAGCACGGTGCGCCACGTGTCTTCAAACCGGGTTGGGAGTCGGGCGTCGAGCCGTGGAAGCCGGCGGCGCAGTCCCGAGAGAAGACCTCCTGCGCTGGACATTCCGCGTGGTCGTGGCAACTCCAGGGAGAGCTCTGCCATCCGCTCACCTTCGTCTCCCCTCCCCATGAGCTCCCAGGCCCTGCATTACCAAGGCTCCGAGGACGAGGAAGACTACCGGAAGGCAGTCGAGGAACAGGAGAAGTTCCGCAGCCGCAACAATCGCAGCACCAGCCGGAACGTCCGTGAACCGTCTCCAGGAATGGGGCGCTCGGGTCGTGACAGGTCTCAGAGCCGCCGAGGCACAAAAGAGCGTGACTCGCCCGAAAACAGGACGCGTACGCCGGCCATTACAACGCCCGCTGCCGTCAGCGTTGGAGATCTGAGACAGACCAAGGACATCCGGACGCTCAAGAAGGAGGCAGCAGCTCGCGAGCTGGAGGAGCGCCGCAAGTCTCTTGCTCGGCGTCCCCTGGCGCCCCCGATCGTGCATCCTGATGAATTGTCGCCGGCCTTTTTCAGGACGACTGACACGATGGAGCTGCCCAGCTCGACCTTTGTGCCGCCCAAGGACCTCCCAGTGCGGAGCCGGACTGCCGAGCCTGGACAGACGAGAAGCATGTATGCCAACAGGGGCCCTCCCATCGGGCTTCCTGCGACGCCCAAGGCCATGCGGCTGATCATGGAGACGGACCCCAACGCTGTCCCGGGCGTGCCAACCATCCCGGCGACGTTTGCACAGAGGCACTCTCCCACGTCTCCGGCCAACAACTCGTCCCCGGACAAATCTCCCAAGAAGGAGGCGGCAGCACCGCCGTCCCTGACACTCTTGCCGTCCACGGTGTACTCGCCGCCCGTCCGTCCTCCCATCTCGCGATGCATGTCGGCGCCGCCCGAGGAGCCGGTTCCGCCAAAGGCCCTCCAAGGTGGTGGTGGCGCACCGGGAGCCAAGACGTCGTCGATGCAGCGACGGCGATCATTGCGGAAATTGAGCACGGACACCTCGGTCCCTACCGTGCGGAACATTGATGGAGTCATGGACACCAGCCGCATGGCCCGTCGGCAGTCCCGCGACGACCAGATTCCTCCTCCGCCTCCTCCACCCCCGATGCTCAAGGAGCTCGCCCATCTCGCCACGCCGCCGCCGCCACCTCCAGCGCCCCTCCCGTTCGGGCAGAAGCCAGCGGTATACGGTGGCCACGCCTCGGGCACCATCGAGATCGTCATGGAGGACGGCCAGACACAGCCCATCCCTCCTCCTCCTCCTCCACCAGCAGTCCCCGTTGCCATCCCCGTCAGCGAGGCCAGCGTGCCCATCATCGCGGCTCCCGCGCCCCCGTCTTCCCGCAACGGCCACCACCGCGGGCGGAGCAGCATCGACAACAGCATCGCGGGCCGCATCTCGAGGGCCACGGAGCGCATGCGGTCCGCGAGCCGGGGGCGGCACAACTCGTCGGTCATCAGCAGGACCAAGTCGCCCGAGGGCATGCCGGCGCCGTACGAGAGCGTCCCGCCGCCGGTCAGCTACCGCGCCCCTCCCGAGCTGAGGTCGCCGATCCAGCCGCTGCCCGTCAATGACTTCCGCACGGGGCTGCACCAGAGCGAGATGATCTAAGGGGAGCTCGCTTGTTTTTTTTTTGGTTTTACCCTCGCACGTTTCAAATCATTCCTATTCCCAAAGTCGGATACTTTTTTGCATGGCGAATGGCGCTTTTGTCTCATCAACTTGATACCATTTGCCTCCTTTTACACGAACGCCGGAAGTGCAAGATACCCGCTGGGGTGTCAATGAGCTTCCTCTGCATGTCTCTCCGAGCCGTACACATTATTGCGAGAGCAAGCATATTCGGTTAGCCCTTTTTTCTTTCCCCTTCATGAGGAAGCTCTTTTTACATTTCAAATTCACTTTTTTATGATTCACGACCTTTCCCACATAAGTCTGTTGAGCTCTGGTGGTGTTCGAGGACACATATGAATCTGTTGTCTGTATTAAATCTTGCATGCAAACTTGATTTTGGATGGGAAGATGTGATGGGGGGGAGAACATAGGGTCGAAAAGACGAGAAGAGAAGACTGGGCAAAAAGGAACCAAAAAAAAGACAAAACCTCGATGAGGAAGAGGATCGGTGCTGTCCATAGCAGCGTTGGGATGGGAGAGCTGGAGGAGTGGTGGCTCTCGGGTCGGGTATACAACGCTGCCTCACGGCATCTTATGTTGTTCGTCTATCTCCGCTTACCGTATAACGAAGGAACTGGAATGGAGGAGGGCCAGGATGAAGCAGATGTTGCTCACTTGATTGAGAGTTTGGACAGGCGGGACTGATTGATAGTTAATTGTATGCGGTTCATTGTGCATTGGTTAACTGCTATCCTAGGTGTTATTGATGTATCGAAAATCCGAGCGGGCAAAACACATGTGGATGCAGGCGGTGTTCGAACCCGCTGCTCCTCCAGATCACAGTGCCAAAAAGGGAAGACCACCAGAGGTAAAAAGTAAATGAGCGATGTGGACATCCTCAGCTCAACCCACTATCCCAAGCCCCTAGCGATCGTAATCCAGCACGCCATGCGACGGTGAAGATATCTCTGCAGAGTGAAGCCTCCCTCAAGTGTTATCTTCATTGCTTAGGGCCGCACGCAGCATCGCTGGTTACCCGAGCGAGTGGGCGGCCACCGCGGCATTCGCACTGGGCGCCGCTAGGGGGATCTGACGGAAATGGAATAGTAAGTAGAGCATTAAAAGTGCCTCCTACCAAACGACCATTACAGCCAGGAGATAAGATATAGTGTTTTAGTTTATATACCTAGTGAGGGTGGGAATGCACGTGATTTGATACGCCCACTAAAAGCAGTAATTAGCCACAGACTGCTGTAAGGAAGCTCTCTACAGTGGGTGTGGTACAGTCCGGTGGCTTCATCGCCTTTGGAGCTTCCGAATGTCCATCGCGACATCCAACAAGCAACCTTGGAAGAGTCTCCCGAGCCATATTTCAAACACCCACCACACCAAAACAGCTTGCCAAAAGCTCCAGCCTCGATGATGACACAGAGGTATCACATCTGACGCGTCGCCAGACACAAAACAACAGGGCAAACCTATCTCGCCGCCCAACAAGGGCATCTCGCCTGGGAACGAGTAACGAGCCAACGAGCAGACCGACACGCAACCATGCTCACCACAAAGCCGTACCTGCGCATCCGGCGCCCCTCGCCCACGACGGCCGAGTTCATCGTCTCGACGCGCCCGCCCCTGACCATCCCGCTGCGCCTGCTCCTCCTCCTCGCCTTCCTCCTGCGCCTCGCCCTCGCCGCCGCCGCCCTGCTCCTCCTCCACGCAAAGTGGCTGCAGTCGCCGTACTACTCCGCCTCCGCCGCCGCCGCCACTTCCTCCTCCTCCCCTCCTCCCATCATCCCTCCTCCTCCTCCAACACCAGAACAAGACTCCTCCTCCCCCTCCTACCCCTCCGTCTTCTCCGACGCCTTCATCTGGCACGTCGTCGCCCGCGCCCACGCCTCGCAGCCGGGCCGCGCGCTGGCCCGCGCCGCCGCCGCCCTGCCGGCCCCG